AGAGCGTCGAACCGATCGGAAGCACTGACATTGAGCGATGGAAACACCAGCTGCGGTATAATGCGCGTTAATTTAGCTACGCACTGTACACTGTCGAACCAGACCGGTTTAGTGGAAAAAGTGGCAGGAAATCGGTGCACCGCGACACAGGCTTCCGCTCTTTTTAACCGAGGAAAAAAGCATTGATGACGACCAAGGGGTAACCTTGATGTTATCAGGAAATTAACGCCTATTGGCAGGAAGATAAAAACCAAGCGATCGAAGCGTGTAATGTTCGCGATAAAAATAGAACGCTCGAAACCATCGGACACGTTGAACTTGGAGCAACGATTAAAGAGAAGAAAAATTCCAGGGACGCGGCCAATTTCCGGCCGAGAATTACTCGCCGAGACGTCGCCGCGTTTCAAGTTTCGGTCATCGGCGAGATTATCGCGACCAGCGAACCGTGCAGCTACACTTCGTTCGACCATGCCCTTTTTCCTTCGTTTCATAACGAATTACACCGCTAATTGACCTTCGTCGACGACACTCGATCGCGCGACCAGACAGCCATGCTGCTTCGACGAGACTCGCGCGCCACCGATCCCACGCGACCTATCGTTCCTTCTAAGAACAGGACAATAAATTCCACAAAAGTTCGAGTTAACGCGGGTACGTCGACCTCTGCAACGATCGATGGTGTATCTCCGGGCTGTGTACTTAAAGGTGCGCGCACACCGATCAAACCTTTCCAACGCGATCGATCGCGTCAAAGAGCACGGTGAATCCCACCGGTGTGAGGCTAGTGAGCAGCTTAACGCCCGTTTAGAAATTACTTCGAATTCGTTTCATCTCGTTTCATCTCTTCCTAGAGACGCGTGCGATCCGAACAAAGGATCCACTCGATCGTATAACGGATCGCGAACAATGTTTCGCGAGCGAAATTATTCCGAGAGATTTCGAGATTTGAGGTTATGCGCCCGCCGAGTAGGTTTCGAACGGAAAATTCCACGCGATCGTTCGACCACGTAGCATTTTAAGGATTTTTCGGCAGCTTCCAACCACCGTACCCGATTCCGTTGCATCCACTCGGTGTGCTGACGTTTTGTAAACATTGCGCTGTCCTGCCGATGAAAAGTACCGACGCGTCGAAACTAGCGAATAAATGAAGCTGAATCGGTAACATGGAGGTTATACGCGCACGAGGACCTCGTATTTCGTAATATTACGCGGGGCACCGCGACAACTCGTTCCCGATCGAATATTCCCTGCAGTTCCGTCTCTCGCGGAGAATAAAAATATCCAAGTTTCACCTGGAAAACACTGCACCGAATAAGTACGGGCGAAATGAGCGTCGAAGAGGGTCGATAAGCCAAGTAAATTTCAGGTTAGAATCGCTCGAAAGCACCGGCTCGACTAGGCCGACGATCATTTTCTCTGCTTGTTTTCTGCTCGCCGTTCCGTGCATACATACACACACACACACACACACACTGCGCAAATTATAGAGGCTGCCCTTCCATGTGCACCAACCACTAGGACGCGCTCGGAATTTCTCCATCGATCTACCTAAAATTGCACAAGGACATCGACAAGAAAGGTTACCCGAAGGAGACATGGTAGAACGAGAAATCGTAATTACGTACGCTGGATAATTGCTGGATGCGTGGTCGTAAAATCGATCCACCGGGCGCCATGACAGGAGAGACGAAATTGGTACATGTGGCGACACCTAGGACATCATCGATTATCACCGAAGATCAACCGTGGGTAATTTTTATTGCGAACGTAATTGGATATCGTCGCGCCACTATGCCAGTGTGTTCGTTTAACAGTCTCGAGTAACTTTGACAAACGGAAACCACAAGAGATATTAGAACTATCAATTGCGTGATTACGCGGAACCAACAACGAACAAGCTATCGCTTTACTTTGCAAAAACGATGAAACCATTGATATTCCGTATACCAACGCGACACGCGATCTTAATGCTTAATCACCTTGTAACTTTGTTTACGTAAATATCTTTCGATATATTCGAATCGATTACGAGTCTCGATAATTAATTCCACTTTTCTGGTTGCCCTTTTAATTTAACGTAACTTAATGACAAAGCATTCGATTCGCGATGAACTTCGTATATCTAAAATAAATCTCTACTTTCTGTCACGTCGAATTAATCGATTTGGCAAGCGAGTGACTCACTTTCGATATCGACGATTGCTCGATATCAAAGGTAATACGTATTCGTTTGAAAATTGAAACTGATAAAGAAACGTTCGTAAAGGATAACCTAAATGGAAACGTTAAAAGAAATACCTCGGTGTCGCGGCTCATTGTTCGTTCGTCGTTCGGTTGCAGATGATTATTATAACCATTTGGAACAAATGCTTATCGAGATGTCCAGGACACGGAACAGCTATTCAGGAAATCAATAGTAGTTGCTTCGTGAAACGACGTGGATGTGTCATTGAATCGATACGCAATTCCTGGAGGCAGAAATCACGGTAGCCTGTTGTTAAACGCACTCGTGCAACGCGAGGTTATGTTTGCCTATATTCGCGCCACGCGTTAGCTGTCGTTTGCATTTTTCTCTGGGCTGCTTGCAACGAAATCCTTCGACCCGAAGCGTGCAGGCTCGTACGACCATGTTCGAGGGACTCGTTATTGCCTTCCACGGGTTAACGCGCCACACCATTTGCAGCGGGGAAAAAAGAGAAAAGAAAGTATAGCGCTGTTGGGTGGGGGAAGATCAGTCGATATAAGATCGTTCGAGTCGCTGCTCGCTCGATAAAGGTTACAGAATGCTCCGCCAATTTTTAATTCCTCGCCTGTTACCGACGTATTTATTCCGCTTTGCTGGCGGAATACCCTTTCGCGAAAAATTTGGAAGCCAAAATGTATTATTCATACTGGCAAACAGATCCGTACGGAATTAATGTTCTGTTTATTAATTGAAACATACGACGCGTCAGCGTAAATGAAAAAGCCCGAAAGCTCGACAAAAAATCAGACTACTCGTCATTTTAGAGAGCAATAAAACCATTCCCCATTAGCGAAAGCGGAGGATACGGCTCGTATTTTTATCTACCTCCGTGACTCGGTACGCGTTATCGTTATCTGTAATAAGACAACCAAGAAACGGCCTGAACGAGCGATGCGAGCCAGCTAGCTTCCAAGGCTGCACTTCTGCACAGGATGCAGAATCGAGGTGCAAAAAACAGGGCGAGAAAAGATCGACGATGAAACGTTGCGCAGTACGTTTATCCCCCCAGGCGTCGCGTCCCCTTTACACGAGCCAGACACAGCCACGGGATGCATCGATCTTTGAAATAGAATGTCTGGCAATCGAGCAGACGATCGGCGAAGGGAACTTCTGCGAAGTGGTGTCCGCTTTGGTTACCTGCACGAAGATGCTTGGAAATCGCGAAATCTATTTTTAAGTCTTATCGAGCGTTCCCCGATGAATAATTCAGAATAGATAACGAATATTTTCGTTCAAACGAGCAGGCCATTTTATACGGTCGTTTATTCCAAATCACTGATGTCACTTTTATTATACGCAAATGAAATAGAGAACGTTCAAAGGTGAGCTTCAATGGGACTCGAAACATTCGAGGAATAGCCGCATATTCATCAGCCTCTGATTCGCGGAATAAACTAGCAACGTGTGCAATAAACGAAACAAAGACACATATGACTTAATGACGCACATTATGCATCTGTTTGAAAAATGATCGCACGACACGATGAGCACTGGAATTCTCCGTAGATAAATATCGAACGATATGAATACGAAAACGAACGACTAATCAGCGAATCCGGCTTTTCGTTAATTTATTCCTCTCCGCGAATTGGTACACGGCGCGCGTTTTAAAAACCAAATTAAACGGGCGAACGCGCATGGTCAAAGGGAGACGCGCGCGATCGTCGTGGAAAGGCCGCTTAATTACTTGTCACGGGGCAAAATGATGCATCGCCGGCGAAACACGAGATATACATAAATTTCGCGGCGAACGAATCGCCGGGCCCGATTCAGGAACAAATTCCATTAACGCGGAAAATATTGCAGCCGGTTCGATTCTCTAAATAATTTCGATCTCGTTAATACGTCGGACGTGGTTAGTAGCTATCGATATAAAATCAGTACGTCCGTAATTCGATTTGTCGATTTGCATACCGTGTCTCCCTCTGGCTCCCGCCGACCTGAAGTTTATACCGTGCCTTTTGTTTATCGCGCGTTTGTCGTTCTATGGTGAAAGTAACTTTGGCGGTCTAGTCGGGCGAACAAAGTCTCGCTAACGTTGATCATCTCTGGTGACGCTGGCGTATCATAAACAGAGCTCTACCAACGCGATTCGCATTCGAATGAAACGACAGCTTTGAACGAGACACCTCGGAACTTTCCGATCGGCCGTGACGAATACGCGTGGCCTCGCAACACTCCAGAGACGCTCTCTTTTCACCCATGTCTCTCCCTACTCACCTCGAGAGCTTGTATTTTTGGTCGATCAAAGGGGAATGCGCGTGCACACGCGAAATATCTCTAACACCGGAGAATAACCCGTTCATGGTGACGAGAGTACGTGGAACGGCTGTTCCCATGCGGCACACGTTCTCGAGCAAAACGACGGTTCGCGAGATATACGGTTCCACGAGGAAAATATGCGGCCATTCATCCGACGGGAATGACAATGAACGGATAGAATCACGTCCACGTGTTTCCAGCCAGCTAATCGACTTCGTTTACCTTCGCTGTTTGGAGAAAAAATTTTCGAGATAACGCGCAGCGTCTTTCGCACACCTAACCTCTTACGTAAGGATTCGCACCGCGTTCGAGCGACATTTTTCTCAACCTACGGGAACGTTAGTCGACGGTTGTGTAAGTGAATCTGTCAAATCGACCAGTGTCAAAGTGGCACGTGGGGAACGAATGTTTCTCGGGAAACGAAGATCGAGAATGTGCAGATGGTGACGTCATGCTGCCTAGGCCTTGAAACGAAGACTGTGTGGCTGTAAGGGTCTGACGCGGAGTGGGGGAAAGCGATAATGGCTTCTCGTGAACCGAGGCATTGGAACGCCGCAACATTTGGCCCGAAACCTTCACCGACGATAGATTTCTTACAAATTTCCACTTTTCTCGATAACCTTTCGCACGAATACGCTGAAACCGGTATATATATACTCCGCGGAAGATTCGGAAAGCAACATCGAATGCCGTGCACTAAAAGTACGAACCGACGGGTAACCGGTGTCGCGAAAGCTAGGCTATTGTAAAATATGGTAGGTTTAAGATAATAACGTGCTCTTGCCACGGATGGTGGATTCCGAAGCTAGCGTGCAGCTACCTTTGTACCCCGCTATCAAACTGACGTAAGATTTGTGGGCTTTTAGATAAAAGCGCGTTCGACTCCGAAGGTGATTCCTCCTGTTTCGACGATCGAAAAGCTACTCGCGAGCCTGCTATCTCGCGTGATTCATGATCGCCAGGCTATTTTCTACGCGAAGGCCGTTTCCACGCGCTCGAATCGCGTTTTGGTGCGCGAGACTTGCAATACTCTGTCCGGAATACGTTTAACCGCACTGCATAACACGAAGAAAACCCTGATACGAGGCCTGTTTATTTTACCTAAGTTGAATCCCATACGAATTTCACTTTATGCGGTATAGCGACGCGTCGTACACGAATTCCAGGCAAGCAAAGGATCGCGAATGTTTACACGTTCGCGGCTCTAAACACGATTGGAACGTGGCGTTACCCGATCGCGAACGTTTCGTTCCAGCCGGCGCTATTCAAAAAACATCCATTGCATTTTGTATCGCGTGCCCGTACGTGCTTGCGAACGAATCGATAAAACTTTTGTCTCGAAAGTCGATATTCCTATCGAATCGGCTATGCTCCGTGTCTAAAGCTGTACGACACACAACGTCGCCAACAATATCACGGTCTTTCACCTTCGTTTTTGTTACTCGGTCCTTATTTTTCTAATTTATCGGCAGCTATCCGCGAACAACGCAATCGACGTAGCCACGACTACGCTCCCCCCGCCACGGGGTTCATCCGGACGACCTCTGCTGCATTTTTCGATTACTACCAAACGCTTACCCGTTTATCCGATGATCAGTGACGCTAGCGACCTCATTAAAAAATGTGACGACCCCGAAACTATACGAACGGCGGCAGTACGATGCGCGCGAAGTCCAAATCGGAAGAATACACGTTTTAACCACGCGAGTTTGAGAAAATCGATGTTTCGCCGCAAAACCGGCATCGCGTGAATCCTTGAGGTAGAGGAACGACTAAAAATCCGCTCTCGTGATACCCTGTGTTACCTGGCCCGAACAGGTCAAACACGACCCAACGGAATGAGTCACGCACACAAACGAACATCTACGTAACGACATACACGGAAACAGTGCTCAGTCGTTTTACCTGGTCATGTTCTGCGCTGGCTAGAGTAACTGGCTTCGAGGTCTGGTCAAAATTTAAATTCCACGAAAACAGCGAACACGCGAGAGGAAACGTGTATACACGAAACGTCGTACGTCGTCGAGAGAAATAACAAACCGGTGTAACACGCTCGAATAATATACTACTTGAACGAAAAATAAAAAATCGTCGATAAGATGAAGAATTTTAACAGTAAAGATTTTGAAAGATTTTCTATTCGTTTGCTAAAACTCTCATTTTTCGAAAATTTCGATTTTTCTCGTGTGACAGCAGTGTTTTCGTGTTGCGTTACGAGTTTAGCGAGTGCCTCGAAAAAACAGACAGCTCGCGCGTCCTCGACGCGACGAACGCGTTTCTGGAAGCTACCATAGAGACCGCCTAATTCTGCCACTGATGCTGCACGACATATAGCTATACCGGCAAATATGACGAATGTGCTATATCTGAGTAAACAACATGCGAGCACGATAAGAGTCGTAATGAAGAAATGGGAGACACGTCGCGTGTGCACTATTTTTGGACAAAAATCTTCGCGAGGATCGACAACGAAAAGAGACGAGAGAGAAAGAGAGAGGGAGAGGGAGAAGGAGAGAGGACAAACGTTCACGGGATATCAATAACATGGACGAAATCGAACGAAATCGAACGAAATCGAATCTGTTCGTTCCCGAAGTTAGGTTATAAAAGTCCAGCACCAACAAAAGTCGCGCAAATTCGTCAACAGAGGGGACACACGTCGATTGGCATTGGAAACAAAGGAAAGCACCGCGAGTTCTAACCGTAGGTACGCGCAGGAAGTACGCGAAACAGCGTTGGCGTGTCGCGCGTGTTCCCGTTCGTGGAAATCGCGATCCGGCCTCTACGTTCCCATCGATTTACCTTTTATTCTCGTACACTGCGAGTCAGCGTGTTTTATCGGCGTTAGCTACGACGTTTCGGGGATCGTCACTGTCGTGCAACCAAATGGCGAAACGATCTCTCCGTCTCGCTCCGCGAAACGTGTTTGTAAACGAACTACAGTGACACTACGAACTGACTCGCTTATAGCAACGGCGTTCGACACGTTGCGGACAGAAGGCCGTTTTACACTGACCCCCTGCCACTGGAACTTCTACGTATAACCATCGTCTACGTCCTGCCACGGTTGCCATGTTGCGTGCTTGCCTGTGTGTGCGTTGCCTATAGTCTGCTCACCGCCGGTGTGCATGCCTTCCTAAGTGTCAGGTTCTACCACGGGACCGTACACATCGAAACGCGTGTCTTGCGACAAAGAACACCGAATTCTCCTTCTCTCTGTATCTTTAACTCGTCCTGAACTTCGTGATCTTCTGAACATCGATCCTCAATCGAACGGGAGAGACTCTGCTAGAGAATGTATGGAAAGTATCGTTGGCTAGGTTAGAAATGTTTGGAAAATGGCCGGTGGAGGGGGTCGTGTCACGTTTCGTGCCGACACGACCGCGATTTTATGATAGGTTGCATGTAAAAATGATGCTTTCAAGGCGTTGCGTAATCGTTTGATAAAGCAGAAGGTTTGCGGTAGGCGAAGAAAGAGCATAACTCGGGAAACGCACGGTTTAATCTCCGCAAAAAGGAAGCAATTAACGGAGATGCACGAGTATAAAATGTGGTTCGCGTTGCGAAATCGCGGAGACTGATGGGACTCGGACAAACGGGGAATTCCAATTAACAATAAAATTTCCACTCGGTTTCGTGTAATTGCGTAATTAGGGATTCACTTACTCGCTAATAAATAACCGCGATAATTCTGCGAGTACTCGCCTTCACAGCTGACTAAACATTCTTTGACGGGGAGCTAATGAATGAGAGAGCGAAATAGCATTGTGCGGCTTATCGCGGAGCAAATTCGAACTACGAGTGCGTTCGAAAATGGCGCCTTTTCGAACATCGCGGTCAACTCGATAACATGCAAATCGAATTTGGCTGTTGGTGAACTTCGGTCCCGTTTGCTTAGATAACACCGTCGACGTCGTGGCATCGCATCCTGTCCGAAAATCGCCAACTTCGCGATCGATCATCCAGGCATTAGCGAAACTCCTGTTTGAAATAGAGTTATCGCGTTTATCGCCTAGAAACGCGTAATCGTTCCGACACGATCGCGAAACGTTGCCTCTCAAGGTCGGCACTCTTGAAAAACCGTTCATGACTGGCGGATTCGCAATTCTTGGTAATTTTTTCGCAAACAATTCGCGTCTCTGTAACAACGGCGCTAGAAAACGACGACCGAAGATTATTCAAAGATTATTTCGCATTATCATGATTCTCCGCGAAGCATACTTACGTAAAACTCCCTTTCAACTACGGACGACTCCTTACGTAACGATCTCTAATTTGTTTTTCGATCGTAGCTGCATACCGGTTGGACGCGAGAAGGAAAGCGGACGACGTCGCGACGTCTTTCGAAATTTTGCAAATTCCGGGACCACACACGAACACCACCGCTGTTTGGTTGGCACGACGTCGTTCGGGGTAAATCGATCGGTCGTGAATCATCGGGCGACGAGGGTTGAACGGTAAAAGGCACGCGTTCCCATCCGAAAAACCGACGATTTTACCCTTCGAAATGCGCAACGCGCGTCACGTTGGCACCGGCGCGTAATTAAATTTCGATGGCCGTGTATTTTGCGCGTTACAGGCGCGGCGAGTGCGCGCGGGTGCGCCGCAAAAATTCTCACTGTCGCGCGAACAGATTGTAGATAACGGGACGAACGAAGTGGGGAGTGGAAAAAAGCAAGAGAATCGGAGAGCAGAGGAAAAAAATTTCGTTAATCCGAACGATATTATCTCGATGAAATATTCAACGGCATTGAAAGCCAGGGAGTATGACGAAACGAAATTCACGCGACGTTTCATGCATTTTGCAAGCGCGGACCGTCGTACACCGTGCCGTAATTTATCCGTTGTTACGGTTATTCACTCGCGGCCAGGATCACGGAACGCCGGAGTCCTCTCTGAATAAGTCACGTCTTCGCTCGTTACCGGTACACTTTTGCCTTCTGTATTCGGTGACTCGACCGACCACTTAACCCACTTGCGCGGCATACATTTCGCCAAAGTTTATCGGCACGATAAGGCAAATCGTTTGCCGAACGTGTCACTCCTCGGATCCGCGAATTTCATTATCAAAACCCCCGCATTATCGGATTACCACAGTACGCCCGTATGGCTCTGTTCGCTGTCCAAAGATACGTTCGCGTAAATAACGCGTAGCAAAATTATGTATTTCGCGAAATCACCGAGACTCCGAGGCGAGTGAACGTTTCCCTCGTACGATTTTATCGACAACGAAAGCCATTTCCATGGCAGAGACAGCAGGGCCCACGCAGTTCGGTATTAATTCATGCGCCAGGACGATCTAGAGAAAATGGAGTTATACGCAGAAGCTTCGCGGTGGTAGTCCTCCATAATAAATGAACCTCACATTCACGATCGGGATCTCAACTGTTCGTCCGACAGTCGCGCGACTCGATCTGTTCCCCGTTTCCCTGTAACGAATTAATATTCAAAGTCCCCTGCTCGCCGTAACAAACAAGACCAACGCGTCCAATTACAGGAGGTAATGGCACCGCTCTAATTAAGAAAAATGGAGTCGAGGGCCTGGGACCAGGTGGCGTTTCCGTGTCTCTAAATTCTCGCGTAACGAGGCGCAGCACAACGTCTCGTCGATGAATCGAAATCGCGTTTCGCATTCGAAACGAGATCGCGACTTTCCATGCAAATGGCCAGAGATTTGTCAGGCATCCGCGCGGTTCCCGGTCTTCGGGCCTGTTTTCAATTACCAAAATCTCGGATGGTTCCATCGTCGCGAGAGGCAGCGTCGTACGAGTCCCAGAGTCTCGCGGGATCTTCCCTGCGGCGCTTGGCTAATTTACATACGATTAATCTTGATCACTGCCACCACCCTCCGAGACCCGTCTTCGTCGGCGAAACGACGGGAAGCAGGTTAAACGGCGAATACCTAGCACACAGTCATGATGGATCGTTACGTTTACGTATTCAGGTTACCGCAGGACGAATTCTCACCGAAACGAGAATCGATCTAATTAGATATACCCCTTTGGGCCCTAGGCTGCGAGACGTCTGCCCGTATTCAACGCGAATCCCAAGGATTCGCGACTGTGCGGCTTCCTGCGAACGTGGAAGACCTCCATTTTCGCCAACCGATACCCGGACGGTGTTCCTTACCTGGGAAGACTTAAAGGGGACCCGAATAAAAAATGTCATCTGGTTCGCTGGTACGGAATTCGCGAAAATCATGGAAACACGAGATACAGGAAGTATCGGGAAGAAGTGGAGGAAAGACGCGAGCGAGCCGTGAGAAAATGGCGGCCTGTTGTACAACGATTCGCGGCGAGTGTCGTAAACGGTTGACAGATCGCGCACGTTTTCGCTAAATTTCCACTCGCGAGTCTGGCAAGGATCGTCGACGAAATTAGACGCAGTTCTCTATCAGCGTAGAGCGAAGACATTAGCGAGCCGAAAGCGGATTAAACTGGTTCTCGCGAACGCCGCGTTTCCTGCCGAAGTTCAGAGTGGCGCGCCGCGATCGGATTCACGAAGAACCGTCTGCCAAGTCACGCCTTTCCGACGCCGGATCGAACGATTAAAATTAATCGTTCGTTATATCGAAGTCAGCCCGATTATACCGCGGCTTCGAAATTGAATTAAACGCCAGGTCGTCGATTCCCCGCTCCTCTGCTCACCAAGCTGCCTCCATTCGCTGATGGATCGTTATGCCTACGTGTCGAGCTCACCTCGAGACATATTCGGCGGATTGATCTAATCAAACAGTCCTCCCTGTGAGTCGGTGCAAGGGCGGAGCAAGGAAACTGATCGAATTGCTGCACTCCGCGCGACCTTCCATGAGAATCGACGATGCTGCACGATATTCGATCAGACGCGATCACATTCCAGCAAGACGTGTTCTAATCAAGCAAAGCGGTTTACGTCGATCGGCTTTCGTCGTTAGTTTCTTGGCATGCCAGCGAACCGATTAGAACGCGATTCCGCCTGGATCATTGCTGACGCGAGATCTCGTTGTTCGATTAATGTATTTTCGTCAGCAACGAACAGGCCCGAAAGAGACCCGTGCCTCGAGAAACAGAACGCTAGACGTGGTTCCATCGGGGCATCGTTTTCGAAAGAATTTCTCGTGTCAGCGACGGTCAAAAACATGCTTTCACTGGAGGATCTTAACTCGAAATCGTTATCCAGAAACGCGGTCGTTGGAGCGCGGTTTATCTGTTCGCTGGGTGCTCGCAGTCTGCTCCGGCCAGGTTTCGCCGGTGGCTTTCGAAATTTTCCGTACAATGAAGCTCTCCGGGCCACGTGTACCGGGATAATATTTTCGTTGCACGGCGGGAACGATCGAGAAGTTAAACGAGAATCTACGAGAGGAAAGGCGAGGGTGACCGAATAAATTCGACCCGTTTCAATTTCCGATAGCAATGGCGACGTCGTTACCCACCTCTGCGCCCTCTTCGCCCATCTCGCCCATCCACCATAGCACGCCAGAGGCCACGTTTATTCTCCTTTCATACCGTATGAATTATACCCACGAACTACCGATTTCACCGCCACGAGTTTCTCTCCTATCATCGCTAACACCCGTGTCGTGACTGAACGATGCCCATTCTCTCGGCTAAGTCCGATGAAATCATTCTTAATTGCCGGCCATTCGTTTCGACGTGGCATCCGTTTGTTAACGAGGCTACGAAAAGAAACGAACGCACACTGTCAGAAGGTTATCGCTGATTCTCCGAGTCTATAGTTATTCTGCTATACACTCTGTACGCGTAGTCGAGTGTTTGCGTAAAAGGATGTTGATTTAGCCGGGGTAAATAAAAAACTGGCTGCCGGAGTCGTTTATAATGGACGTGCCAGCAAAAACCGTGTTCCAAGCGTCGCGCTCGCGAATGGCCGCGAGATAAATCAATTCGCAGCACCATCGAGTCTACCGAATTATCTGATAACCGTAGAGAGTAACCGGGATGCCGAAAGTTGTCTCTTAAACTCTCTTCCAGTCGATAACACGTGTGACGCGTGGCGCGAATCGATCGCGAATCGATCGCGACTCGGAGCGATAAAGCTACGTCGAGTGCTGCGATCTTGGCGGGAAAAAGGATCGATCGGCTGGCACCGGTAACTAAGCCGTGTCGAAGGTAAATAACGGGGAAATTAAATCGTTGTTTGCCTGCCCGGCAGTCGACTGATTTTCCAGTGTTAAACGGCGGTTAACCGTTAAACGATGACAGAAAGATCGATAAACCAGCGTGCAACGATCCTCCGACCGACCGACTCCTCCTCCACTCTTCCGCAAGTGTCACGTGTCGGGATTTTTCCACGAAAATTACTCGAACCACCGAATCGATCTCCACGCGTGGACAAATCGCAGGTTTGCCTCGATTCGCCATTGTTTTGAACACGTTTCGCGCGATTTACGCGCGGCGGTGAAATGAGCGACGCTTGAGAGGGTGGTCTCGAATATTTCTCCACGTCGAGCGAGTTCCATGAACCAGTTCCACGCCAAGGGCATCCGTTTCGTGGAAATCGTTGACCGAAGCAGAACAACCCTCGCCGGATTAACCCTCTCGACTTAGTCCCTTAAACCGCCTTACTGTCGCCGGATCAAGAGGGGTACCCTCGGGAAGGTACTCGAAGAACGTTGATAGAGGATCAGCATTCAGCGGAACGGACCACTGTCGTGTCACGAAGCCTCCTGTAATCCCTCTCTATAAATGCATCCGATGCATTGTGTGCACTGCCTAATGGCTAGATAACTGGGACACCGACACGGATGAACTCGCGGACACAAAGATATTCCGCAGGACCCGAACAGGCCATTTGCATACTGCTCGTGTTTTCCCGTCCCTCGATTGTCCGAAAGTTCGGACATCGTTATCTGGGTTATTAGAAATAGAATATCTATTTGCGCGGTCGTTGATTGCAGGGACGGTCAATTGGACCGAATCGCATCGCGCGTGTAATCCACGTGCATTCGCGTCCCAGGTAACGTTAACACGGGTGAGAGATTTTTCCCGATCTATCGATAGCGTCCAACGATCGAGCAGTAGAATTAATCCTCAAGGCGCATTCGTTTGCACGCGAAGGAACGATCTCTCGGTCCAAGGATGAGCGTCGCGACGACAGTGTACATCTCGACTAGTTCTCTTGGAAATTTCAGTAGGCACGCAACACGTTTGCACTCGACGCACGCACACCTCGCCTACGCAGCCTCGTTTTCTTGCGTTCTCCAAAGTAAGGATGTATATTCCGAGAACGTCGCCCGGCCGGCGAGCGCATCTGCGAATGACAGCAGTTGTTTCCAAGTTTAACCAAACCATCGCACTACATAGCCGGTTTTCCGATTCGCTCGGTTGCCCGTATTTACGGCAGTTCCCTACGCGCCAGTAAAATCCCTATGGGGATAATCTCGCGCCCGTTACTCGAGCCTTAGATTCACGTCGACGAATTTCACGTCCCTCCTCTGATCGAGCTGTCTTCATTTTTTAATTGGGAGCGTCACGAGGAAAATGGGAAAAGGATTTTCTTCAAAGTTTGCTCGAGCAGAGACGCTCGTTTCGGTGGAGCCTTGAACGATATTCTTCGCCTCGATTACACGTAAATTGATGGCCAATCGACGTCCTTACGATACACGATAAAATAACGTCGATCATCGATCCATCATTCTGCTCGCGATCGTTAAGTACCAGAATAATTTGTCTATTTCGCGGGCTAGCTCGAAGCTGAAGAGCCACTACAGGCTCGACGAGGTTGAAAGATTAAGGGGTCCAATTTAATCCAGCCGATCGTTTCCTTTATTAAAAGGAATATGGAAATTCGAAAGCTAATTTCGTCGAGGAATATCGTTAAGGATTCCCGTTAGAGTGCTCCTCTTCGTTACCCATCGCGTTTCTTTCATCGCGAAAATGCGCAAGGCTGTTGCGTAACAGAATTCACGGAAGCTTGGAAATGTCTGAAAGTAACTTGCACGTATACACGAGCGATGATCGCATAGATCGGTCGGCTAAGTAATTCACACGGAATTCGATTAGAATGCCGGCTTTCACGCGGAATACCTAAGTGTCGAAATAATTTCCAGAACGATCGTTTTATTGCATTATTAATAAGCCCTGTCGCAATATGTAATACGCGTTACGTAACGCGTTGTTTAACGCGACGATTATTCTTCCGATGCATGCAATTCGAATTTAATTATCGCGCCCGGAAGTGCAGCGCGATTATTGCCACCCCGGACGAAAATTTCGCCCAAACGATATTCCGAATAATTGCCAAACCCGTTCTAACCTCGCCGATCGGTCCCGAGACTGGAACAATTCGGCTAACATCGAGTTTATTCGCCGCGAGAGGCGATCCGAGGCTTGAAAACCGGTTCCGCGGTCGGGACGATCAATTTTTGCTCGTCGCGGTGCATCGAAATCGACGTTACAATTCGCGTCTCTTACGCGATACATAGCGGATCCTATTCGATCGTTCATCGACGTCGTTCCCTCGATCGCTAGTGCTCGTTATCGATCAACTATTGCCGTTGTTCCAGGCTAGAAATGAAAATCCGTTGCCGTGCAAATGGCGCCGATAAATCGTCTCGTTCGTATTTAAATCCGGCCCCCCGAACGCGAAATTCCGCTTTAGCGCCTTCTCGAAAGATTAATTCAAGATCAACCCGGTCTAATTCCCCATTCTTCAAGCAGCGAATCCAGGCGAGCTAATAAAGCGTCCTTCTGTATCGAGCGAAATCGGCGCAGACTTAATCCCTGTCTACGCTACTTTACTCTCCTAAATTCCTCGCGACCGGTGACAACCGAGTCGTGTCACGTAGCCAATTCGGCCCGAGTGCTCCTTAATATGCATGCTAATTCGAGCCGAATCCTCGATCAAGCAGTTGGACGTCGATAACGGCGCCGGTTTAACGTTTCTCGCCATTCATACGGGTACATAAACGACACCCTTGGACCAGCGATAAAAGGCAACGAGTCGGGAAGGGAAGGGCAGGAAGACGGAAAAGATAAACGCGAATCGATTTCGATAAGAGCGAAGCGTCCTCGTGGAACGGAAAAGTCTCTCGTCAACGTCGATTCGAGATTTAACGGTCATGAAAACGGTAGCTCGTAATGATATCACGCATCCGAGACAATGGCTGACAAATCCGCGGATACTAGGCATTGTAAATAAAATGAAGCGCGGCTCGCTGGTACAGAAAGAATAACGAGAATATCGGAGACGCAGAGGCACGTTCGATAAAATTATTGTTCCGTACTTAACGAACAGAAAGGAGAAACGATCCCATCCCCGCTGATGCTTCCCCCCGGAATGGGGTATAATTTCCGTTCTCTCGTTGCTTTTTCCGTCTGCACATGACAACTGTCGTTGCCTCGTTCCGCTATAAAAGGTAACTGTTCCCCCGTTCATGCGCGTCGAAACGTTTATTTAACCGAGGAAATTGCAAGAGATCCGTCCGGAACTGCGCGAAACTTTCCCCGCTATTTTCTCTCGAATTAGAATTATTCTAAACCGATTCGGGGCCCGGACCAGTCGTTTCGTACGCGTTTATACGCCCCGAGTTCGAATTTCGCTCGCGAATAGCCGGGGAAACAAGATGAACAGAATGACCCGTGAAATACGTTCTAAAATAAAGCACGGCCGACGAAATGGAACAATTTAACGGCTGTACCCGCGTGTGTTCCAGGCACGATCGCGATCGCAACTGCGCCCGCAAAACGCGTCAACCGATAGAAGGATAGAAACTGGAAGAAACACGGACCAGCGTGTTTCCACCGATTCCATTCCATTCTAATTAGCCCGATAGTACCTCTCCATTTAGCTCTTTCGCGCAAGTATCCACGGTCAATTACCGTCTCTCGATCGCAAGCGTGAACCGAGACGGACGCCTCGCTTCCGTTTCGAGTGGAAGATCGCAAGCTCGCCGGGTCGAGCGAGTGGAAATAGACACCGGAGCCTCTGTATCCGCGAAATACAGCCAAATATTTCCTCTCCTAGCCGGAGACGACTCGATCGTCCCGCTCGCACCGACGAAAATTTCGCCGACGCGAGGAAACGCCCGGCACGGATGAAATCGTCGAGAACACGATGACGGAAGAAATTCGAGTATTTGCCAGTTTCGCGAACGTTTCGTCTGGTCCAGACAGCGTCAACGTTTCATCCAGCAAAACGTCGCAACGCCCGGATAGACGAACACTGGAATTTAAACGTGACGAAAGATGGCCGACGCGAGTCGCGTCATTCGACATGGGCAAAGGCTACTTTTGCTACTCTTTGTCCCCGTGACTGTTCCAGGCGAGCGTTTCCACTCGACCTGCTCGAATTTCACGTGACTCTACGGTTACGACACGTCGATGACGATACCGGTTGCTCGATCAATTACGCCGCCGATATCACCGTGATAAGGATGCGTAATCGCGGCCTATCTCGAGCGGAGAATTTTATATCGCGCGGTACCGAACCATCGTTGCTGCGCATACCGGTTTTTACTGGCACATAATCGATAAATAAAATGCGCGGATAAACGTAACCGTTACGACACAGTTCCACCTGGCGTTATCGATTTTCACGAATTTTTCACCCATCTACGCGCGCCTGTCCTCAGGAACGTGTACTCGCTTGCTGGGAATCAATTACACTCCAGAGATATCGTTTGACGTTGCTCAATGTTAGCTTGCTGCTATTTTTTCCGGCTGATATCGGAGAATTTTCGGAAATCGGTATTTTCGACGAATCGGATATCGCGAAATGTGCCTCGGGCAATTGTTTATCCGTTTTTCCCTCCTTCTTTTATCTGTTTTCCTCTTTTTCTTTCCGTCGTTTAATAAGGAACTCTAAAATCGTACATCTTTAATAACGTGGTAAATAGTAAAATCTTAAGAAACGTTACATAATATTTTATCTACATTTAATCGATGCATTCATTAACGTGCCGACACGCGAGGAAGAACGCCGATAAATGTTACGCATTTATCGGGGCGCGTGGAAATTTTTGAGTAGTTGACCTGATTTCTTCGCTTTATGCAACACGATCCAACTTTATCTCGGATGGAATGAGCACTTATCTGTGAATGCCTCTGTGTTCGAGCGAAAAGACGATACGCTACAATTAAAGCTACAATTATCGTACACGGTTCGCGACCATCTATTAACGGCCTGTAAAATAATATCAACGCGTGTAACGTCGATTGATTAATCACGCGTAACGTGTAACCCGGGTAAAAAAGAATTTCGGGCGAAACAATCCCGTGAAACGTCAACTGCATATCAAAACTCGATAACCGTTCCTGTATAAATCAACGACTAATTAATCATGAGCACTTTGTCGAAGTGGCAGGCAATCGAAACCCCTTATCGTGCGTGCAACGTGTCGCTAGACAACGAAAGTAAAGCTATCACAGAAGTTACTACGATCTATGTGTCGTTAAAAGATCCGTAAACTGCGTAAAACACGTGTTAAATAGAAAATGCAAATCCACAACGATAGCCGAGCAGGAACCGAATCGTGCAACCTATCAGAACGTGTCCATGTGTATGGTGTCCATGCTGGAATAAATATTCGAGACGTTGCTGCTGCTCTGCGTGTAAACCGATCCGTCCATCTCGTTGTCCATTTCCTCGGAAAAATTCACCAGCACCTGCAAAATTAAAACGTCTCGCCTTAAACTTCCGTCCATTGCTGCCCGATCGAGATAAAAATTCCGTGAAAAATTCAAACGGGACACATAAATCGATCCCTCGGTGTAAAATAACGCACTATGTACGCGTCCAAGCTACAGCACCCGCTCCTGCGATTCTATTTTCCAGTTTCCTCCTTGTCACGTGAATCATCGCGTCGCGTGACGTTTATTGGACGAGAATTTTTGCTGCGAATTTATCGGCAATCCGTTCCCGTCATTCCTGGATGACTCAAATGTATCGTAACGACAAAATACGGAATTGTTGCAAATGCGAATCGCGAAAGTTGCGCGAGGCTTCTTCGGAAACAAAGAGGCTCGAAACTTTCGGTCGTCGCGATGCACAGTGGGAAATTACGCCGAAAACCTGGGCAACGTTCAATTGCTCTTGCTACTGCACCAGATACCATCATTGCATCAAGTTTTAAAGTATAATAATCATTTAACCGAGATATACGTCTTGAGATTTATAGCACGGTCAATGTACCGGTACATCTCGCGTTGATCGTGAAATAAGTACAAAATAAGTACTTGCATCGGTACTACTGCGTTGCATCGGTGGATGAGGTCGCTGCGATCGTTTACGGCGTCCTCCGCGTCTCGACGCGCCGCGGGAGTGATGGCGAACGCAACCGGAAGCGGAAGGACTGCATGGAACAGAGTTATCGGCCGGGACGCTTTCCCTTCGACGAGGAAGCATAAAAATCAGGAAACTCGCGGAACGAGGCGAGCTTTCGCGGTTTACACACGAGCCCGTGTCGCAGAAGCAAAAACCGCGTCCCGGCTTCGACTTGCTTGCGGCCAGAATTTGTCTCGCGTTACCGATTGTCGCGTGAAAAATTGCACGCGCCATCGTGGCAAACATCCGACACCGTCGATTGCTTTATATTTCATTTTTCTAACCTATCCACCGAGACGCGCTGATAAAAACCGATCATCCCTAACGAACGATGCAAATTGTACGAACGATCGAGACAGAGCCACGGTTATGTAGGGTATTTACAATTAGTTTTAATCAGGGCTCGAAAACTGTTATGATATCGATTGCGGTACTCGAAGTCGGTTTCAAACGACCGTTATTGTCTAAAACGGTCATGGAGAGTCGAAATCAACGAAGATATCGATTTCGGTTATCCCGGCAGCTGTTGGAACGGCGCTTCTTTATTGCTTCTGCTTAATTAATTATTTTGGCGTACACGCGAATACTTTTTGGAAGGTAACAACGATATTTTAATGTAGACGTGTCGCGGATATTTATATCGCGAGAGTGTGAATTTAATTATAATTTGGAAGGAACAAATTAATGATTAAATTTGTCGTTAACAATGGAATAATATCGTTAACGACAAATTCGCCGATACACGAATGTATAATAATCAGGAAAAAATGAATAAATCATTGGCTGTTAAAATTGGAAAATAATTGTCAGCGAAATCGGTAATTCTCGGCCAATTTTCGGGGCTGATCACGGGTTATATTAATATATAATATTATATAATATAAAGGCTGGGCGAACGTAGGTCGAGTTCACTTCCTCCTTCGACCTCGAATCGAACGGGGCGAAATTTTAATTAGGCTAAGTTAAAGGTACGAATGAAGAGGACGGTAGTCATCGACTCGCTCCATCTACTCTAATGCTCAGCTACTCTAGCTAATTTAATAATGATATTTTAATAATTTTTTAATTATTTAATCGAGTCACTCAACGATATAATTAATCTGATTATAAATTTAACCGGTACACGACATAGCAAGCAGGAATTATCGCGTAACGATGATAAAATAGCTATTATAAGAAACTAAGGATATCTGTAAAAATACCTATCGATTTCTGTTACGCTTTTCGCTAAAAGCCTTCGAATAATCGATTCTCTTTTAGCTTCGTATCGATTGCAATTGCATGTCTAGGCAATATATAATTCTGATATCGGTTCTATCTCAATTTAAAACCCATTATAAAAATATATGAACATATCCCAAAACCATAACCGTAGCTGTAACTGATACAGAACCGATATGGAACCGATATTTCAAAAGCTATTGGAACCGGAACCATAACCGAAATCGATACGCGAATATATAAGGACCCTTCTCGTTATAACAGCCGCAACATCGGCCCTCGTCTTGCTATTTCTCAAAAAAATCCCTGCACGCGTAAAGCTGATGAAGGATGATTCGCACAGCCATTCCGACGCCCGGTCTTAATTAACGAACGCGCCTAGAATATTCAAATGATCGCGACACGGAGTCTCGTGTACGTTCGCGACCTTAATTCGCTTAGTTTTCGAAGACGCTATATTAAAGGGCGTTCGCAAATCCCGCTGTTTCGCAAACGCCTTTGGCAACGGTACAATTTCGCCAACTAAATTATGCGGGCGGCCTGTTCCGGTCTGTCGAAACGATCGCGGCTCGAATTCTCGGAACGCGATAAACACGGTCGACGCTTACTTTCCGCGTCGTCGACAATTAAATTGCTACCATTCGATTGCCTTTGATAGCGCCGTTCTTCGTTCACGGACTAGAACGAATTTACCATCTCGCAGTATCCGGTTGTTTCCGGCCCCGAAAGGAATTCCTCGGCAATTCCGTCTCTTTGCCGAGGAAAACTCGTTTCGGCCGCGCTCTAGAAGCGGACGTCGGCCATGGACACTGAAAAATCGCTGAAAGAAGAAGCCGCGTACTTGTAGGGACCATAAAATCTACATATCTACCTCTACGATCTCGCCACCGTGGAAATCGGCCCTATGATTTACGATCCAGCCTGGCCCTCGCCCACTGAACACCGTTGCAATTATTTCGCCACGATTCTAAAATTTCCGCATAAACTTTCTTGTCTCGGTCGTCGATAAATTCTCCCCCGCCGTATCTTCTCCTTAATTCCCCGAAACAAAGAGAGACTCGTGACAATGGCTAAACGCGTTCGCTGGAATCCGGGAAATGGGCCAGTAATATCGGAATAAATAACGAATCCTCTATTATTCGGCTACTTTCGTAATCGTTACTCGGTTGCACGCATGGTTTCACCGTTTAATTAATGTCCCCGTTCATCGTCACGCTTGAAAACGTACTTTCTACGATCTATTCGACTCCGAGTCGAGCTACCCTCTCGTTTCCGCTTCCTTTCGCCTATTCATCCCTCGTAACGTAACTGTTCGAGAGAAACGATACGTTGAAAATATTCGAAGTTGTCCTTCCGCTGGACTTGCGTTTTCGAGTGTTAAAACGATCTATCGAGCCGACATTAAGTGGTTCAATGGTTCGAACATACAGCTCGACGGTGAAAAGCGCTTGGCTCGCTTGAACCGATAACGAGTAATTAAGCCCGAAGGTGTTTGAAATTAGTTATTAAGGGGGAATTTTGGGGTTAGCGCCACGGGAAGAGCCGGCTCAGACTAAGAAGGAGCAGTCTCTAAGCCGAGTTAATCTCCAGGGATGAGCTTTGTGTACGGGTAAACATAACCGGATCAACAAATCCCGTCACAGCCGCGTATATAGACGGTCCTGGAATCTTATCTCCATTAAGAAGACAGGACGCTGTGGCGCGAGACGCGGACAAACGATGCGAACGTGATTCCATTGAATGATTCCAGAGCCGTGGTATCTCGCGCTTATTCCGGCGCCAGCCTCGTAATCGCTCGTCTATGAATTATTTAGGCGTCACGCGAAGCCCTGAGTGGCGGAAAAATTTCCAATCCTTCGATTTTCAATAGCCAATCCCTAATGTCAGGTTGAAATCGCGAACCGTGTGGTATCTCGATCACCTTTCCTCGCATACCCGTATCGAGTATGCCTTGATGGAAGTGAAAATTCTAGGCAGGTAAGTGAAACGAGTTCCATCCCTCGTTCCACAACTTCGGAAATCGCGAATACTATGGTACTATAACTAGTTTCCTTTGCATACTTATTTTAAACGCGGTGATAGAATTAAAAATTTTGGGAAGGCGAGTGAAACGAGTTCCTTCCTTCGTTCTTCAGCAACAGAAATCGCGAATACTATCATATTATGACCAGTTTTCTTGGCATACTCGTTTTAAACGCGGTGATCGAATTAAAAATTTTAGGAGACCAGTGAAACAAGTTCTATCTTTCGTCCCAAAACACCAGAAATCGCGAATATTATGGCACTATAACTAGTTTTCTTCGCATACTTATTTCAAACGCGGTGATCGAATTAAAAATTTTGGGGAGGTGAATAAAACGAGTTTCTTCCTTCGTTTTTCAGCAACAGAAGTCGCGAATACTATGATATTATGACTAGTTTTCTTGGCATACACGTTTTAAACGCGGTGATCGAATTAAAAATTTTAGGAGACCAGTGAAACAAGTTCTATCTTTCGTCCCAAAACACCAGAAATCACGAATATTATGGCACTATAACTAATTTTCTTTGCATACTTATTTTAAACGCGGTGATAGAATTAAAAATTTTGGGAAGGCGAGTAAAACGAGTTCCTTCCTTCGTTCTTCAGCAACAGAAGTCGCGAATACTATGATATTATGACTAGTTTTCTTGGCATACTCGTTTTAAACGCGGTGATCGAATTACAAATTTTGGGGAGGTGAGTAAAATGATTACTATCTTTCGTCCCAAAACACCAGAAATCGCGAATACCATGGTACTATAACTAATTTTCTTCGCATACTCGCATCAAAAGCGATGGTCGAATTAAAAATTCTACAGGTGGGGGGTTAAGTGAAACGAGATCGATCTTTTGTTCCTCAACAACGGAAATCGCGAATTGTATGGTATTATGACTAGTTTCCTTCGCTTATTCGTATTAAACGCGGTAACCGAATTAAAAATTCTAGGGGGGGTAAATGAAACGAGTTCGATCTTTTGTTCCTCAACAGCGGAAATCATGAATCTTGCGGTACTATAACTATTTTCTTCGCCTATTCGTATTAAACGCGGTGATCGAATTAAAAATTTTAGAGAGGCAAGTAAAACGATGTACGAGTTGAATGGAGCTCGGAACACAAAGGACCCCGTTTGAATGGAGAAGAATAAATTTCTAAAACGACGTTGATCGCGGGCCACACTTCGGCCACGAACTTCCGAGGTGTAACTTTTTTAATTAGCGTTCAAATTGCGCTTCCTTTATTAACAGGCTCATGCAAATTCGCGGCGCCTTGCATGAATCAACGAGGAAATTTCGCGAGAAATCGTTGCTGCCCGTGGGCAGGATCGGCGCAGGGCAAAGGTACAATGCAAATTTCTCCTTCTCCCTCGTCTTCCTCTTGCTTTTTTTTCCACCGGCTACGGCTTTCCAACTTCTAATTGCATTTCGCGCGGCACACTAAACGCGGTGCTTGCGTAATCTTGCGGAAAATGGAGGAGACAATCGCGAGGCGCGAGAGTGTAATTGGCGTGGAAGGACGAAACATGGTGCTTCTATATGGCGACACGGAAGAAGAAAACCGCGATCGATCAGAAGAGTCGATTACACGCCGTGCCTGCTTGTCGTTGCTCTCTCCTCGCGATTCCCAGCTTAAATGAAAAATTCCTTTGTTGCCGTGCGGCGAGAAAAAATGGGCAAACGTTGGCGAGAGCTCGCGGGAATGCATCGGTGTTGCGGCATTGAAATACTTGAGGGCCGCGGAGAAGATTAAACTCCTCGAAAGTTGCGTCGTTACGCGGCAAATTAAATCGTTCCAGGCCAGTTCGTAATTGATTACGAACAGTTTTGCGGAATCGCCGGGGCGGTCGTAATCGTCGACCTGGACGCGATAGGGCAAGCGGGGAAGCACTTAAAGGGACCCAGAGCGACAGAGGAGAAGGTATATACGAGAGAATCGGTTTCCAGCCTGCTATGGAGGCCACGAAGACGGAGTATGCGCGAATGTGAGCCGTAAGACAAATCCATTAATATTCCTCAGGCTAGGTAGGACATAAACGAGGATCGTCCTTGATCGAACAGCCTGGTGCAGCGTGCATTGGCTGTGCATCATCTGCTCGAGACAAGACCGTTGTATATTGCACGAAACTGTCTCCCAGGACTCCATCGATTCGCGTTCGATTTGGAACGTCCGCGAGCAACTGTTCCGTGAACCTGAACCTATTTGTCAACCTTTGTTCCAGATCGAATTTACCAAACGTCTCGATTCTTTCGCGCTGTGAAGTCCACCGGTTTAATCGGAACGAGGGCGTGCACACCCTTACAAGGCATAATCCCGCGGAACCGCGGAACTACCTTCTCGTGGACAAGCCCCGGACTTTTACGACCAACCAACCTGATCCAGCGAACTTTGGGTGAGCGTGTAGTCGGTGGCTTTCAGTTCCTCGGCCAACAGCTTTAGCTTATTAAAGCTGCTGCTAACTGGCATGTCCTGGCTTCGAGGTATCAGCAGGCGAGCCGCGCTGGCCTGCCTCGTGGAGACCACAGCCTGTGGGAAACACTTCGCAATGGCCTTCTTCAGATCCGTCGACGAGATTGGCTGTCGGAATCGCAAGAACGCCACGTAGCCTTCGCCGAACCTGCGAGCAAAGGTGCAAACAGACATCACTGACACCGATACTTGCGCGAAATATCGCCTGTTCACCTCAACGCGTTTCGCCGAGGTGCTACCTTGGCTTTAATAAACCATGGACGAAGGGGAACGGGGAGGAAAAACGCGCACAGGTGAAATGAAAACGGCGAACAAAAGCTGTGTAACAAATATTTATGGCGACCCGCGCGCGTTCACCGGCAGATCCGTCTATTTGTATTCATTCGCATCGGTATACGTACATCAGCGTCGATAAATTATGCCGTGGGAAAGGGCAGCTTGCGTGGCAGCTATTCCTCGGTAAATTAACATGACCGTTTCGCGGAAACGCGAGAGAGGGATCGGTTAAGGCACCCGCTGGAAATTGCGAAACCGATTCGGTGTTATTTTTCGTAATTTTTCTAAAGTATATCCGCGGGTAATAAGGTCAATTACATTAAAAATGGCGAACAAAAACACCGCGATAGAACACGTGGGGTAGGTGGAAAAGTCGCGACACGCTGACGGAGAAGCTTGTAAAATGGAAATCCTGCACCGAACCAGGTTGTAAAAAATATTTGACGGTAAAAGCTCTCTGGTAAGTGGATATTTATTGCGCATGCCGTTTCACCTGAGTAACGATCGCGTCATAGCAACTGAAAAAATCCTGACATACGGATGAAGAACGCGTACACCAGTGACGTAGCTATAAAGCTTTTACCATCCCTTGCAATGTGGCAAAAATATCGCGAGCGTTAAACCCGTCTTCGTGGATCGTTTATTCCAAACGTGATTGTCAAAAACTAATTATTACGCGGCCTAAAACCAATAATTATAAAATCTACCAAATCGAGGTAAATAAAAAGGAACACCTGAACCTCGGCCTAGTAATTCCAACGGCGAAAGTTGAAAAATCTGAGCGAAATTTCAGCAATAAGATGGTTACAAGGGAAATTTGACGGTGCTTTCTGGCAAGTGGATATTGCGCTCGGTGTTTCATGCGGGTGTCGAGAATATCCTACTGTTTATGCTATGTGCAAAAAATCCGACCTGGGACAGGTTCGTTTCTTGGCATCCGACGTTCTCCGGAGAATGTGGATGGATTACCACACCGGGGAATAGCGTATAACCGTAGTGTGCACACGTGCGCGCGAGATATCGTAAATTCCGTAGCGCCCGATGGCGGGGTGCAAAGAGAAAATAGGAAGGGGATATAAGAGGGACATTTTCCCCGAGTTACTTCCGTGGGCGAAAGGTGTGCAGCCAGAGCTAAATATTCATGGCGTTTATATTTCGGGAAGGGATGTTAAATGGCGTTACCAGCCGTAACGGAAGACACGAAATCGGCCGGTGCGTTTGCTAATATGGCGGAGTATCGTTGCAACCGAAACGTAATCTGCGAGCGTTCGTCGAATGGAAATGAAATTTGATGGAATTCGCAACGGAGGGAATGGAACTGTTGCGCGGAAAATGACGGGTGAAATTAAAAATCAATCGACAGGGCGGGAGAAGGCGAGGGGCTGCGGGGACAGCGAATAAATTGCCGCGTTACGAATTTTCGTCAGAAAGCCGTTCGAGAGATTAAACCAACACGAACGATCCATTAGTTGAAACAACATCATTAAAATGCGTAGGTCGAAATTAATCCTGTCCGGATATTGGGGCATGCATATTCGTGCGAAATAATCGAACGTTTTATTCCGACCGTTAATAGTATATCGACGTCCTATGGAACTTTTAAATTCCCGTGCTCGGACATGGTTGGTGTACGTTGGTAATTAGCGAAGAGCACTCCACGGTCAACGACCATACTTACTTGTGCTTTAAATGCTGCGGCGTCCCTATGCATCTGAGACCAGCCTTGGCGAGAATTCCGACCCTGGTGCATAGATTCTCGCACTCCGCCACGCTGTGCGAGGTGAGTATCACGCAGCTCTGATTCTTCGTCATTCGCCTAATCGTTTTGGCTACGAGGTCCTTTGTGGCCGGGTCCATGCCGCTGCGCGCAGGAAAGAGGGAAAAAGTAGAAGGAGAATTTCGTGTTTATTAAAAAGACGCTTTTAATAAACCGTTTTGCGAAATACCTCGTTGGCTCGTCCATCAGAACCACGGGTACCGGCGCCATGACACTCAAGGCTGTGCATAGTTTCCTTTTATTACCTCCGCTAAGATTGCTCACCCTCTTGTGCGCGTATTTCAGAAGATCGAGTCTCTTCAGCACTGACTCGACCGCCTGAAACGAACAATTTTTCACAGGGTAATATTAAATTCCTGCGAAGGTAGCGGCGCGTGTAGAGAGAAGGTTGGAAGCCCTTAGAGGAGCAACTTGTACGATTCACCCGCGTGGAATTATTTGTCTTGGGAGAAACGGCAGGGAAAAGAGAAAGAAAGAGCCCGATAAATTTCCACTTGCTCACCCCTGCCGGGTTCTTACGCCTGCGGCCGCAAGTTCGAACGCGAAATAATTAAAAACACAATCCACGCGGCGATGAGGCATGATGGAAGTTATTCAAAGGTCCCTGAGAAAACTCGCGGGGCGAGGACGGGCGGCAAGTTTGAACGTAAATCAAGCCTCACCTTGGGAACGTTGCTCAGCCCGCAAACTTCCCCGTGAATCGTTAGACACTGATGCGGACTGAGGAAACCATCCAGACCGTCGCTCTGAGGACAATAACCGACTTCTCCGTTGCACAACGGTCCTGAGCCGATTTCGTTGCCTTTCAGGATGATCCTGCCCGCCGTCGGTATCACCTCCGTGGTCAGCATGCGGAACGTGGTGCTTTTCCCTGCACCGTTCGTGCCCAAAAGACCGAAACATTTTCCCGCCTGCACTCCGATACTTAAATTCTGCACGGCTACGTTCGTCCCGTAAACGCTTCTGTACTCCTTGCGAAGTTTCACCGTTTGCAGGATATCGTCCGACATGCCGCCTTCCACTCTCATCCTTTCCATCAACACGTCGTCGTCCTCCTCGGTCGTCTCGTAAGGACATCTCTGTCTCTTCCAGCTGGGAAGAAGACGACACTCGACCACCAGGTTGAGAGAGAATAAAACAGCGCCAACGAACGCCAGGAAAACGTAATGAAGACCTAGAAGTTCCCAGCTTAGAGGTGATTGATAGGTGTCCATGTGAAATTTCTCCAGCAACTGAGCCGTGATATCGTTCCGCGATATCTGCACCAGAGCGTCGCCCAGTGCATATTGAGGAAGGATCAGCAAGATGTTGTGCAGAATGTTTCGCACGTCCTCCGCGGTTTTCGTTCTGCCTAGAATGTCGAGTACCAAGATAGTGGCTAGAGAGGACACGCCTATGAACGTGTTCACGCAGAAGAGGACCATGTTCGACATGCTGGAGTCATCGAACACCTTTTCGGTCAAGTGCGAGAACGGTAACGCTGCCCACCTGACATTCGACAAATTACATTGATCGAAATTGCACGAGTGAAGCGATAGATCGTGTCGTATCGTTGAAACTTACGCGAAGAGGAACAGCAGTAAGCAAATTCCAGGCAAATTGTCCCTAGCTACGTACGCAGACAGTCCAAAGATCTCGAAGATCACCACAGCCAAGCCAATGGAGCAACCGAACACCTGGAACAATAGGATCCAAGTTACGACGTGGTACTTTCGAACGATGAGATCTTCTCATAGGCTACTCACGAAGAAATCCCAAATTAATACGGTAGTCCAATAAGTGACAGGATGGACGCCAGCCAGGAAGAGAATCCTCTTCTCCTCTGACAGTCTCTCTCTCACCAGTTCTTTGGATCCCTGGGCAGCCACCAAGTTGAACGCGATCAGAAGCACCAATGCTACACCGACATCAGCTACGTGCTGCAATCTGAATCGGAGAAATAATCACTGACATAATCTTGGGAATCATTCCTTCTCGTTACATGCGCCATATTGTTTCAAACTTCACGTTTCAGCTTCATGTGCATATTTCGGCACTTGATTGGTAAGGGATGCAGCGACATTGCGTATCTTTGAATGGGCAGAAATAATTTGATTCGCAATTATTTTCGTATAGCTTTACCCAATCCGCGTGTTCGAGGTGCAATGTACGCGTGTATAATTATTACAAAATGAAACTATCGTTATAAAATAAATAAGACTAATCCTTAGAATATTTTTAGCATTAACCGTCCTTATTATGTCAATTAATATCGGTAGTGATATTCTTCTATCGTGCGCAATAGTCGATTGCACGAATGTACCTGTCGCCCTTCCGGTTTATATAAATGGAGTTCCACTGTAATGAAAACCGCGAAATCCGGTTGAAACGTTGAACGACGCGATCGCGTAGGCGCTTCAAGTTAATTAAAAGTAAACGCAACACGCGCGATTTTATTATGCATATTTTCCGCTTCATTTCGCCGACACGGTAAGATCAGCGTGGTATGCTAATCTTCGGCCTTAATTGAATTTGGCCTATCAAAATATAACGCTACTCGTGAATATGCATGTTGTTATTCCTTCTTTGTCGTTAATGCAGGCAATATGGAAATGCGAACTTACAAGGTCGTTCGGTTGAGTTGATCACTCGAGAGTTTTAGAGGGTGATTCAAGGTCGTTATACGACCTTGCACGCCGGATGCTCTTAAGATCGCCTCGTTTAAGGCGCTCAAGTACGACGGCAGCGCGTGATGACCTTTGTTGTTGTACCAGACGACAAAGAGTGGCTCCTCGTTAGCATGAAACAACGACCATCCACCGTACCTGAGTGAAATACCGAAAGGTGAGTAAATTCAAATTCGCTGATTACTCGGTTTCTTTTTCTCTTTTTTCCTTGTCTATTGGACGCACCTTTTCTCTATGTACTCTTGGTGGGTCGATACTATCCAATCCAGAGTAGGTCTGCCGGGTAACACTTGTAGCAGACCTTCCACGGCCTGCGACAGACCATGACAAACCTGTTGACCATCCAGACACTCGCAGGTACCTGTGTCCTAGTGAAACGAAAATATTTGCTTTACACGCGTAAATATTTGCTTTACCAGTATCCGGATGTTTTTAGCGCAATTCTACAAAGCTCGTACATTAGGCAATGTTTGCCATGCGCCAGCATAGTCATCCCCGAATCGATCGTGAAGCTGGAGAGAGACGTGTTGCAAGAACGAATCAGCGCCATTATCGATGCTGAAAATGGATTTTACAGTCAACGTTCGTTCAATTTTCGACCACGCAGCTTTATATACCTGTAGAAATATGTCGGATGAGTGTCGTATAATTTCGGAGAGAGGGCCAATGGTGGTTCGTTCCCGGACGGAGGTCTGATCAAAGAGAATCCCATAGCAACGGCCACGAACATGGTTGGCAAGAGGAGACCGGCTAAGAATGTCAACCAGTCCTTTCTGAAGTGCCATATTCGTTTCTTCAGCAACGCTTTCATCTGTCTGATGGGAGAGGGTTTCAGGGATTCGTTGTCCAGTAAATCAACGTCATCTTTGGGCATCACGTGAACTGTCAAAAATTAAATCGAGGAATTAAATTAACCCCTTTAAGTTCCGATGACGTGTGCCATAATCAACAGCAGAATCTAATCACGAGCCTCGCCCGTGTTGTTTGCATTGGGCCTCGTCTATGAACCACGCTTCTCGCCCGTGACGCTCGCGTTTGGCCCGATAACCTTATCGCGAGTTGTAGGCGTACGGATTAAATGGGTAAATTATCTCGTATTTACATCATCTCGCTTACCAGGATGATTCACATCGATGACGCTATCCTGAGAAGACGTGGTGACAGGTGACCCATTCTCTGCTCTGGAACAGAGGTCTAAGAATACTCTTTCCAAGGTGTCACATTCCAGAGAAAAATGAGAGTATCCCAAAATTTTGCGGTTATCCTCGAGAACCTTGGCAGCTTGCGCGATGCTGAAACGATTCATTTATTCAAGCTCGGAACCCCAATGACAAGTCGCATACGATATCAAAGCTTTGAACCGTCAACCCACTTATTATTTATGCCGTTCTTCCCCTGGAATGGTAACGTGACGGCCACCTCCGTTCCAGAAACTTCATTAGTCACCGCGTTAGGCACTACCTCCTCGACCGCACTCTTCAGAGTTTCCAGTTGCTTCCTCTCAATGGCATCCGCGTTTCCGACATGATCCATAGGGAACGACACGAGAAGTCTGTATCCGCGGCCATGCATTACCTTCAAAGACAGCGGTGATCCCGTGCAAAGTATCTTTCCCTTGTGCATCACGACGACGGTGTCACTGAGTATATCAGCTTCGTCCAAGTGATGAGTCGACAGTCTGTGTTGATCGATTAGGCGCCAAATCCTTCGTCTCGCTGCGGGATCCACTCCCGCGCCTGGTTCATCAAGGATCACCAGCTTCGGGGAGCCTAGAAACGCTAAAGCCACGCAGAGCCGTCTCTTTGTGCCGCCCGAGAGCCTGTACACTGGTTCGTGCTCCTGTCTGCCTAGCTCCAAAGACGTCAACATCCTGTGAGCAAAGGTATTATGATTCGATTAAAATTTTAATAAAACAACAGCGTAACTCAAAGGAGACGAAAGATCCTGCCAAGCAATCGACATCGAAGCATTACTTATTGACAATGTACTGACTCGTTCACGTTTCGTTGCATATTCACGTCCTCCTTGGGGTGTTTCAGTTTCGCATAAAAGATCAAATGTTCCCTGGGCGTGAGAGTACCGATGAGCACGTTATCCTGGGGGCAGACCCCTATGTCGGGCTTGCAGCCCTCTTCAGCGTTCAAACAGATCTCACCGGTGGTCGGAGCCAGCATCCCTGTCAGCATCTTGCTGAAACGAAAGTACACTCTCAAAAGACGAGAATGAATCTAGATTCCTGCTTACGAATGGAAATCGGGTAACCCCTTAGCCGACGTTAAAGGGAATTAGTTACTAGCTGACAAACGAGTTACTGCTTGAAACGCGAAACGCGTTAAACATTCGTTTCTTATGTTACTCCTTAGCTATTTGTCTCTCCCTTATCGCGTCTCTTTCGATAGGTTGTTCACGTACATGATGGTGGTTTTCCCGGCGCCGTTCCTTCCAAGAAGACTGGTCACCTCTCCCTCGCTCAGCTTCAACGTGAAGTCATCCACAGCTACGACCTCACCCTGATCAGTATGGTAGACTTTCCTCACGCCGTCGAACCTCACTCCCGTTTGCTTCTCGTTCACTGTCAAATTGCTCGCGTCGCTTTCCTCGTCTATATTCCATACGATGCAAGAGACACGTGTTTTTAATAGGAATCGACCACCATCGTTTCTCAAGCAAGATCGAGAAAGCAGATCGAAATATTCATGGAAAGAGTTAGATGCTTCGCAAATAACTTTTCTTACGATTTATTTACATTGCTCTTTCTCCACTCTTTTTTTCTTTTTTTTCTTTTCAACTTGGAAAAAAAGTACGATCCATAGCGGACACGAGCGCATTCCATGATTCATGCGTGGCATGCAGCGTCGACATGCAATCTATACATGAGATCGTACGTCAATGACAGAAAGGGCACAAAAGAAAGGCCAAAAATCGTGCAGGACGAAGACGTCCGGTATGGTTACACTGCGAAACTCATGCGAACGCGTGCACAGGCAGACTATCAAGAAGAATTCCCCCCGAAACAGCCGTTCCATGATGCATCCGGACTGCAACATTGAATAAATTAAGCGTTCGCGCGCGAATTCCCATTCTCATGGAAGTAGCAACAAACATTTGCATATTCGGCGCAATCCAAATATTCGAATAGCTCTTTCCCGTGCAAATTTTACGAAATAGACGGCTGGTAGCACGTTTATGCAGATTAGATTGCGTTTCACCTTCGGTGCTCTCGCAATTTCCGACGATTCCATGATTTCTCGAAGGAATTTTTATCGAACGAATATTCAAAGTGGTGTGAAGGTGGGGAAAGGGAAAATTGAAATAAAGCGAGCAGGAATAAGATAGAGAAGCGAGGATAAACACAGACGTACGTATTCGAACATTTGAGCAGCGCGACCGAGGCTCGAATAAAACGGGGGTAGCGCGTGAGGAATGCC